TCTCCTCCTCTAGGGTCAGTCGAGTCGGAGAAGCGGAGAAGTGATGGCGGTGCACACATAAACTGACCGAACAAAGTTTTCGTAGCTCAGAAAAAGTCTTTAGATCCACAGGAGAGGGGAAAAGCTATCAATTTTTGGAAAGCTGGCGGACGACTGAAGTGCTCGGGAGCCTGGCTGCGGGAAACACAAACTGCTGTGCGCGCGCGACTTGTACTTGGCGACGGAAGAATTTTTGGGAGCCGCGGTTACTAGTTCGTGAACTTCGGAGAGAGAGAGAGAGATAAAGCTAACGCGTTAGCACAGCTATTTAGCCTGCTCGTGCAATGTGTTTTAACCAGCCAGAGAATGGTTACTATGGGGTTTTGTACTAGTAGACACGCAAGTTAATAAGTAACTTATCTTGGGTAGTGAAATAATCGTCTGTATATTTAGCTTGATTCATTCGTCTAGGATGAGCAGGTACTTTGCACCTGTAGCCTCACGGCTTGAAATCTCTCTCGACTTTCCTGGTTAGGTATGTTGTTTTACTTGTATTGTGCTTTTGGTGACGCATGAATCGACAGGCTGATAATGTAGTTTTTACTCTATAATGTAAACAAAAAAAGTTTGTGAAGTAAGTATTTAGGCTAAAGCTGATGTCCGTGCTTCAGAGACATTTCGCATTCCGAGATTGGTTAACTTTAGCTGGCTTGCGTGGAAACAAAGCAATGCGTCTCTTAACCTATATTAAGCCGGACTTGACCTGACCCACTCTCCGTTAATGGTATAAAGTGACCTGGCTGTGTTTGTTAGGAACTTTTTGTGCGTGCGTGTGTGTGTGTCATTGGGGAATACGACTGCTGGACTAGTTTACTTTGATTTGACATCACGGCACCCTATGGTGCTCCTGGAGGCACCGAGACATGGATGTTCCCCAGGCCGTTTTCCCAAACGGTGAGGGGCGCCTGAGCCTCCAAGACCATGTCTGGACGGAGTCCTCCAACTCGAGGGCTTGGGCTGACTCTGCCCCCGTGTGTCCCCGCTCGCTCTGGACGGCGGTGTTTGACTACGAGGCCAGCGGGGAGGACGAGCTCAGCCTGCGGCGAGGAGACGTGGTGGAGGTCCTGTCTAAGGACGCTGCCATCTCGGGAGACGAAGGCTGGTGGACTGGAAAAATTAAGCGTCGCGTGGGCATCTTCCCATCTAATTATGTTACTTACCAACCAGCTATTTACAGAGCGGTAGGGGCTCGCGAGAATGACCCGCCCGCCCCTGTTCGGATACCTTTTTCTGAACTCGTTCTACAAGAAATCATCGGCGTCGGGGGGTTTGGCAAAGTCTACCGTGGGGCCTGGAAGGACCAGGAGGTCGCGGTGAAGGCAGCTCGACAGGACCCCGACGAGGACATTACAGCTACTGCAGACAGTGTTAAGCAAGAAGCCAAACTTTTCTCGATGCTTCAACATCCCAACATTATCAAATTGGAGGGGGTGTGTTTGGACGAGCCCAACCTGTGTCTTGTCATGGAATATGCCCGAGGAGGGACTCTGAACCGCGCCTTGACGAGCAGGAGGATCCCCCCTCATATCCTCGTGAACTGGGCCGTCCAGATCGCCAGAGGCATGCATTATCTCCACGAGGAGGCCGTGGTTCCCATTATTCATCGAGACCTGAAGTCCAGCAACAGTAAGATAATTACCACACACTCATTAATGCCTCCTTATCTTGACCAAGAATTGCTGGTATTTGCTCTACTGTAGAAACACACACTTGGTTGTCACATTGGTATTTCCTTTCGCAATTAGCACGTTAATTATTAATCCCCACCCACCTTTACAAAGCTTTATCATTAGCACATCAACCTTTCCCATATATGCCTGTGTTTGTACCTGAAAGGAGGGGAACAGAACACCACGTGCTCTTGAAATACCTTATAACCTTCATGGAATATCCTGCCAGATAACTGTATTTAATGTTGCCTATATATGTAGCTAGCCACAGGAGCTGTATCTTCTCGCTAAAAGCAATATGCTTCTCAAAGGAAGCCACTAGCTAGTGAAATCTAACCCTAGAAGAAAAGCTATAAAATTGATGGATGCCCTAAGATTTGAATAGAGCCTTTGTAGTTAATGTTAAAGACACTGGATCCTTCCAAGTCCTTCTAGCAACTCCAGGATTAGTTTATCTCAGAGTACAACATTGGCTGCAAAACTTTCAATATTTAATTTACAAAAACAAAACAAAAAACTTATGGAAAGCATACATTTCCTTCCTGTTCTTGCCTGTACTATTCTAGATAGTGTTTCAAACATTGCCAGCATTTCTCATATCCCTAATCCTGTAAAGCCTGACAAATGATTTTTTTGTAATGAAACCGTTTCTTGAACCATTTGAAAAAAGGTTATTCATGTCTAACAAGATAAAATATGATGGTTTGTAATGTAAATCAATTAAATAATTCTAACAGTATAGCAGAATATTTAAAATGCATATAAATATCCGTTGTCAATCTATATCAATAAAATTTCTTAGTGAGATGATATTTTAAATGCTTAGTTTTATGATCAAAGAAGATCAGAATTTATAATTTAATACAATACAATGATGACTGAGATATGTATAAATAAACATTCCTTAAAAGCCTGACGTATCATATTTGATACTTACATTTTAACATGATTTTGCAAAAAAATAATGTATGGATAATCAAGTAAAGCTAAGCTGGTTCAGTCCAGTAAGTGTTCATCTTGACATATTACTAACAATATAAAAGTTATTCTTATGTTTACTATAGAAATCATTAAAGAGTTCACGCAAAAAGGCATGTGTACCAGGACCTGAAGGTGGACATTTTTACAATTATACTAAAAGGCCTTTTACTTGCTAAAAATGTATAAAGTATCAATCAGATGACAGAAGCCTTTTACAACAGCTAAGTTTTGATCATGTTGACGATTAAAAAATAGAAGCCTTTGTGTATTAAATATAATACAGTAGGCATCGTAGGGTTAAGGTGAATCCTTTGTTGTATTTCTCATTTATAAGAAGTTACTGGATAAAAGCATCTGCTAAATGAATAAATGCAAATGTTAATTGTTTTTGGCTTTTTTCTTGAAAATGCACCAAATATAAAATAATCTGTGGTTAAACCTGAATGTGTACGTTTGGGTGAAAATTCTTAAATGCTAAACTAAGATAAAATTACATTTGTAAATGTTGGCGGCCCTACAGTCATCAAGAGATATTTAAGGTTGCATTTTTTTCTCCACACCCCAATTGTCTCTGACTTAAGAGCAGGCTATTTGAAAACTGCACCTGCATTTCAACAGTGGATTTGAGTCATGTGCTTCAGCAGAGTCTTAAGTTACACAGCCAACAAGTAAACAAAACACTGGCTATCTCCAAACCTTTCAAAAGAGCTGTGGGAATGATGGTTTCTGAATGTGTGACCACAGGCAGGTTGTGAAGTTAAGAGGTTAGAGTTTGAACAGCTGGTGTCATTGAGAAACTGGCTAACAATCTGCTAACAAGGTTCAGAAAACTCTGGTCTGAAAATACGTCTGCATAAAGAAGCACCAAGTCTGTATATAAATGTTTTTTTGATGATTAAATAATTGGTGTTATAATAAAGTCTATTTCACATACACTGGTGGTGAGTATTATTTTGTTGTATTGTTTCAGTGCTGCCAATGAACAATTATTAGACCATTTGAAATGGTGTAGTGTAATTTTTGCCATTCACGTATTACAGAAGTTTATGGCAAGAGTTTATTTCATGCAAAAAAAAATTCCCTAAAACATTACTATAGCTGGAGGGGACACTGCATGACTAGAGATTGTCCTATCATGTTTCTCAGTCATTTATGAAGTTGGGAAAGACCCTTACACTTATCTGCCTCAGGTATGCTAATACCTTAAAGAGACATTTCAGATATTGCTTTCAGAAGTTAAGTAACTTGTTAACAGAATAGTTTAGCTTTCTGATTAATCCTCACAAAAAATATGTAACTCAAATACAGTCTTGGTGCTGCAGAGATTTGATCAGCGGGTACCATGATAATGTTATCCATTCAGCGGCTCTCTTAATTCCATTAATTTATTAACAAGCTGTTTCTAATAGCTATACCATTCAAAAGTTTGGGGTAGTGTTTAAAAAAAGTCTCTTTTACTCACTAAGGCTGCATTTATTTGATCAAAAGTACAGTAAAAACAGTATTATTGTTAGATATTTTATAAAATAACTATTAATTTGAAATTTAATATTTTAAAGTGTAATTTATTCCTGTGATGACAAAGCTGTTTTTTCAGCATCATTCCTCCAGTTTTCAGCATCACATGATCCTTCAGAAATCATTATATTATGCGGATTTGCTGCTCAAGAAGCATTTCTTATAATCAATGTTGAAAACAGTTGAGCTGTTTAATTTTTTTTTTAATATGCTACATTTTTTTTTCAGTATTCTTTGATGAATGGAAAGTTCAAACGAACAGCATTTATTTGAAATATAAATTTCAAATATTTTTTTTGCAGCATTGTTGTTTTTACTGTCCCTTTTGATCAATTTAATGCTGAATAAATTAATTTCTTTAGAAAAAAATCATACCGAACGGTAGTGTAGATGATTTCTGTCTGCAAACGAATTGCCATTATTGTCATTCTCTATAGCATTCTACCATTTGTTAAATTAGCAGAGTATTTCTAGAGCAATAAAATAGACGGCATTCCACTATCAACAATAGACGCAATGTGGCACCCTGCCCCCGTTCAGCATGGCAGTGCTACTGTTAACGCAACTCAGTTTGTTCATCTCTCCACAGGATTGTGACAAACAACATTGGAAGCTTGCTGACCTTAATTGAAAAAAATAACGTGTGTTTGCTCAGTGCAGAACAGCAACCCATCATGAGCCAGACCCTTTCTGCTGTGTTTTTTAAGGGGGACTCCTTACCCATTCTGGTTGCAGCGGTACATTGTTTAGCAGGTTAAAGGTGGAGGGTACTTTTTTAGGGAGGGACAAATAGCAAAGTCAAATACTCTGTCTCAAAAATAAGAAATTAAATAAGATTTGTTTTGTGCCCAGTCTTGCTTATCTGATCAATGATTATCTTCAAGATATAGCAAATAGTGAGTGAAATGATGTTTTTGTGCCCTAATCTTTTAATACCTCACTCAAAGGAATGTCGCTAACGAGGGGGCAAAAGCTTAACATAAGTTTGCACAATGGAATGGTCAAGCACTGGTTGCTAGGTGACTGCCAACCCGAGAATGCCCCGACTCCTGGGCCTGAAAGGCTTATTTTCATTATTTTTAATCTCCTCAATGGCTGCTGTTTTCTCTCCAAGATGGGGAGCTTCCCCTGATTGGGGGTAAAGAATATTGCAGAACTGTTGCCAGCAGTCCCTGTGAAACTCGGCACTGTGCCACACTTCAAAACTCAGTTTTGCAATTTCAGGCACATGAAGTGTAATGTTAAGGAATCTCAAGCATGTGTGCTCTCCAAAATACTCTCACTCACTCACTCACTCACTCACACACACACACACACACACACACACACACACACACACACACACACACACACACACACACACACACACACACACACACACACACACAAACACATAGTCTGACTGACAGTGTAGGGAATAATGGGTCTTGTTCACTAATAATTACATGGATTATTTTGTATATGCACAGCGGAATTTCTCACGACAAATCTCCACCTAATTCACTATGTTCATACGCACATGAATTTGTTCTTAATCTCGTTCTAATGTTATGGAATTTGAAATATTCTAAACGAGTGGCCGCGTCCAAACCATCTCCATATAAGGGTTTTCCGCACAACCTTTCCTTTACAGCCTTTCGTCACTCTCGTCAAACATATGCCACTCTCTGCAGAAGTGCTCTCGCCAGATCCTCGAGCAATGCCAAGTGTGTCATTCTCAAAACCAGTTCAAACAACATTTATACAGACCCGCACAGTGTAAGTTCCTGTATTTTTTCGTAAATGTTGAATACATTTTAGTACACATGTTTTTGGTGAATCATGATTTGTTCGTTTGTATGTGGATTTCACACACAAAATTGTCCGTACGCATGCTCAGTGAATGAGACCCAATGGCCTTGTTGGAGAGATAGAGGACCGTGGCAAACAGGTTATTGTCTCATGATCTAAAGGTGATTTTCTGCTCCATAAAATGGACACCATAGAAATCTGAGCCAAGAAAAGACATGTTACGAAAGTGGGAATTAATGAGAGCTAGACTGTAGCAAAGTACTATTAGTTTAGAAGTTAATTTATTTTATATTTCAGGTTCACATCTGACCAGAACATCTTTGTCAGAAAAGTGGATTTTTCTTTAGTAATAAGACCACATTCATATCCAACTTGGCTTTTTGGTTTGCTAAAATGTATCCAATATTAAAACTGATTGTATAATAGGTTGTGGGTATGTAGAATTGTATATTATTTCATTATATTTAAACTGTTGATTGGTGTTGTTATGGAAAGGACTAGAAACCAACAGCAGAGATTAACCTGAAAGCATCAAACAGGTGCAACCTGTTCGAAATGGAATTCCAATCTTCATGTTTGTCCCAAAATTATAGTTTTGTCTACAATTTTACCTGAGACCTTGCTAACATGCAAGCCTTTTATCTTAAAAGAGACTTATAAAAGTTCACAGGTAAAACGGTCTGGTTCTTTTTATTCCCAGTGTCCAGCATGTTTATGGGTTTAAAAGAAATTAAAAGGATAATTCACCCAAAAATGAAAATTACCCCATGATTTACTCATCCTCAAGTCATCCTAGGTGTATAGCTATGACATTCTTCTTTCAGACTAACACAATCAGTTTTAGTAAAAAATTTCCTGGCTCTTCCAAGCTTTATAATGGTAGTGAATGGCTGTTTCTGTTTTGAAGTCCATCAAAGTGCATTTATCCATCATAAAAGTAATCCACACGGCTCTGGGGGGTTAATAAAGGCCTTCTGAAGTGAACTCCGGCAGACGACCGTACACATACCACGCAAATCAACTTGCGCCACAAGAGTAACCCGTGACGCATGTATGACGTAGAATGTAGGAATAGCGTAAGTTTAGACGCCTCTCGCAGTTCAAACAAACAGGGCTGGGCAGCAAACTCGAGGTCCTCGGACATTTCTCTTTAAAAACTGTCGGTTTAGACTTCTAATTCGTGACTGGTGTTTTGTTTTGCTCTAACCTCTGCGCTTCCGCATTCGTCATTACGTTGTGCGTTAAGGTCAAGTGTCACTCTTCCGCTGTAAATCGGTGCGTACGGGTCTGCCGGAAGTTATTTATTTTAGTTGATAAAGTTTTAAATATTGATATTTTTCTTACACAAACACATTTCACTTCAGAAGGCCTTTATTAACCCACCAGAGCCGTGTGGATTACTTGTATCATGGATAGATGCACTTTGATGGACTTCAAAACAGAAACGGCCATTCCCGGCCATTTATAAAGCTTGGAAGAGCAGGACATTTTAATTGTTTTAATATATTTATTTATTTAATATATTTATAACAATTTTAATTGTTTTTAATTATTTTAATATAACTCCGATTGTATTTGTCTGAAAGAAGAATGTCATATACACCTAGGATGGCTTGAGGGTGAGTAAATGGGGGTAATTTTCATTTTTGGGTGAACTAACACTTTAAGACAATTGTAAAGGATCTAAATCCTCATTATGGAACTGATAGTTTTACCTTTCTCTGGCTCGTTGCTTTAATAAATAAAAATGATGATTTTCAGTGCACTATTCTTGTACTGAACGAATGAAAATGTTACAGTTATACTAAATGTCTTAAATTGTATCAACTGCATAAACTGGGAGTGTAGTCAAGGCCAGTACTCTCCAATGTATGCTGGATGAAGCCTGGGAAAGTTTAAGGCGCTTAATGAAATGTGTCCACAAATAACACTACTTAGTTACCCCCTCAGGTCATGATAATAAAGGCAAGGAAGTCAAGGTCAGATTAATCAGACATGTAGTTATCAACTGAGGGCCTCCCTATTTATTACATACTGATGTTGATAAAGGTCTCAAGTTGGAATATTGTCAAGGACAGAAACGGTGAGAAATACTACTCCTGACCTCAGGATGTTCCGGACTTCAAAGACAGCTGGCCTACATTCTCATGTTATTTGTCATTTGGTACGAGGCTGTATTGTAAACTAGAGTGACTTGTATGTCGCTCTGAGTTCTTCATGTAGACCTGTGTCCTTGAAGATTCCACTTCATGATAAAAGCGTGGAAATATGATTACCCTCTTAGCATTCCTGTATTGTTATTCATTAACATAAATGCTCAAAAGCTAAGGCTCACGCGTTGAAAACATTCCCATCATACTTTAAAATTGCTCAATTTGTCTAATTCATCTTGAAAATACTGCAGACTTTTAACCATTAACTCATAAGTAATGTAGTACAAATATCTAAAACATTTCTCCTGTCTCTGTTCTTTTTTTAGTTTTATTACTTGAAAAAATTGAGAATGATGACATTGGTCGAAAAATCCTGAAGATCACTGACTTTGGCCTTGCTCGTGAGTGGCACAAAACAACCAAAATGAGTGCTGCTGGCACTTATTCCTGGATGGCTCCTGAGGTCATCAAGTCCTCTCTGTTTTCTAAAGGGAGTGATGTCTGGAGGTAAGCTGTTATTTTAAGTTAATTGCAATGTTTGGATCAAAGCCTGTTATTAAAGTTAATTGGTTACTTGAGGTTAGACACAATTGCTTGGGCATCATTTTAAGCTTTTCCAAGTGGCATGATTATACTTCTATGACGCATCATTTTGGCCAAATTCTAAGTCAGTGTAACGTATTGTTCATGGATACAACATAGTTTAATATAATTACAGACTGAATGTATGTGTAATGCATTAGTATATTGTGTCTGTAGTACCTTGCAAACTCCAAAACTTGCAAAGTGTTCCAAATCAGTCACTTAAGAGAATCAATTTCAGTTTGGATGCTGCTCTTAGGCCTGTAGCGGCGCGTCGATGACGTCGACGCTTCGACGTCAAAAATTCGTCGACGTCATATTTTTTTGTCGACGCTTCTTTATTTATTTATGTATTTATTTTTTTGCACCGTTCCCGGCGGTACAGCTCGCCACACACACGTGGGAGACCGAAACATTGCAGAATCGAGGACGAAACAGCAACCTCTTCACAGAATTCACAACAAAGCCATGCAAAAGTCCCAACAAAAGAAAAAGTCCTAAAAAAACCCAGCTCGCACTAAATCATCGAAGGTATGGGAATACTTCAAATTTAGTCCCAAACGTAAAGGTGTCGTTATTTGCGCTCTTTGTCAAATGGAGTTGACATCCCAAGTCTCCCGCATAGTGATAGCGGCTCCCTGATGCCCGCAAATTAGTTAAAATCTCCCGGAATCTAGAGCTCGCGAGCTCCAAACCGTGTAGCGCGCGCAGCGAGGGAGAGAGCGAGAGACCTTGCGCGTGTGTGTGCAAATGTGCGTGTGTGCCTTATGAAGCGCATGTAAACCCCACCCCCGTCAACAAAACCGAAAAATCAGTCCGGATGTTTTTTATGAGCACTGAAAACATTAAAATGAGCACCACATCCAAGTGTGATAGGGCTCATTTGAGTAGCCTACCAAACATTTTACAGTGTAGATACTCTGTAAGAACCAGATCAAAATTGTTGTGCATTGAATGTGCACTCCTGCAATTTCCATGTTACAAAAAAGAATCGTTCAATTAGTCGTTAGATTAGTCGACTAATCGATAAAATAATCGACAGACTAATCGTTTAATTAATAATCGTTTACCCCAGCCCTAGCTGCTCTATATGTAGGCGATAGACTGCACTGCAAGGTAGCTCACTGGGGCCCTGTTTACACCTGGTATTAAGATCCATTTTGGTCGATCAGATCACAAGTAGATGAGGGAGACACATACCCGTTTAAACCTAATGTTTTAATCCGTTTCTTTTGTCCACTTTCAACTACTTCTGTCCTGATTTCTTAGAGGGGGAGGGGGTAAATATGTTTTTTTTTTTCAGATCTTTTGATCTAATGGACAAAATAAGCTTGTGCAATTAACATATGAACACAGACGGAGACGACAGAAAAACATACAGAGAGCATCAGCTTTCGATTCTGCTCTGATAGCCGCAACAATGAAAGCTGTGAGTGCGTGTTAGAAATCAGGAATGGTGAGAGAACATTGTGCTTGGTACATTTTTCGTCTTCAAACCAAATTTGGGTCTTCAGCCAACTCAGTAGGCGGAGAGTAGGTGGTCTTTTATGACTGTTCGAACACATTCAAACACACGAGCGTTTACACTATGAAAGCAATCCGGTCGAACGCATTTTCGACTATCTCTGAATGTGGTCGAAGGTAGACAAGCTCTAAATGTTTTAGACCCCGTTTATACCTGTATTTAGCATCATCCACTTGTGATCTGGTCGACCAAAACGCATCATAATACCAGGTGCAAACAGGGCCTAAGTGTACCTAGTGTTTGATTTAGTTTTTAGGTTCACAGAATCTTTGGGTCAGTTTCAATCAGTACAGCATTATTTGGTGATGTTCCAACTGCCCTTTTACCTTGTTTGTGAAAGCTAAATGTGAAGTCTCGTCTTTTTTATTTTTTTATTTCTCATGCCACTTTGCTCAGACACATTTTGATTGATTTCGCTTCTACCTTCTTTAATTCCTAACATTGCTAGAACATTGTCTTTTCCTTTCTTTGCCTTTCTTTGAGGTTAAGAAGAGAAGGAATGTTATATAGTTAGCAATCATACAATGTTTCCTTTGGGATCCATTAAGAATTTGCCTCTGAGATGCTTTATGTATACACACACGTAATTTAAAAGTGCAATCAGTGTACAACCTTTGATTAGGGATAGAGTACAGAGGGCCCCAAAGTTGCCTGCCTGGTTAATATTATACATAAGCACTTTTCTTTAAGCCCAGTTGGTGTGATTAGTACCAACCCATACCACACTGACACTTCCCTGTGTTCTGTTCTCTGTCCAGTTATGGAGTCCTCCTTTGGGAATTACTGACTGGAGAGGTTCCTTACCGTGGCATTGACGGCTTGGCAGTTGCCTATGGAGTTGCTGTCAACAAATTAACCCTTCCCATTCCATCTACCTGCCCCGAGCCTTTTGCCAAGCTCATGGAGGGTAGGTCTGCTAGTGGTTTACTGATATTACTCATTGTTTATCCCATCACTATATGTTATCAACACTCCATGAGATATTTGACATTTAGGCACTGATACCCCATTCACACCATCACCGACTTTGTCGCTGCATGTGGCTTGTCTCCATACCTCAAGTTGCTCATGGGCATTCCTAGTGCTGTCACTCTAATGTTATTGGTAGACTGCACATCTGGATATATCTTTCAAAAAGGCAATCACAGATTATGTGTATTGATGGAAAAACTATGTTAACACATTCAAGTTAGAGTTCAAAAGGTGCTGCACGCACATCCAAAACAATAAAGCTGGGTGCTGGGCAGACAGGTAGTTGAAAAAAATAAACAATGCACACCAGAAAATGCTCCTAAGTGAATTTAATAGTTGCTCACCACGTGTAACGTTTCGGGCCCAAGCCCTTCATCAGACATAAACTAGTGCAAAATGCCCGTGCAAAAGAATTTTTTTGTGTGTGTTTTTAGCAATTGTTGGTTTGGTGTGTTTGAGTGCTCATTGTTACAATTACACAGCAAAAGTTCAGTGACATTTTTATTTGTGCATGGTAGAAAGCATACTGATACTGACATAATGATGATGCATTGGAGGATATATTTAGAGTGGATACAGATACATGCCCGTGAAAGATAGCGATAATGTTAAGCATGACACAGTAATATATTTACATGGCCGTGAAAGATAGCGATAATGTTAAGCGCACCATAATTAAATAATATATTAAGAAGTAAAAACAGCTACGCTGTTTACTTCTTAATATCTATTTATAGATAGATAGATATTAAGAAGTAAACAGCGTAGCTTTAAATAAACATATTAAACTTTTACGCAGTTAATCTGTTTTGCAGTTCGTGCCTCTGTTGTTTTCGGTTGCAAATTGCTGTTCACAGGCTTGCAGTGCTTTTGGCCGCATTTGTGCGCAAAAACCGTGGCAAAAGTATAAGCGCGGAAAAATGAAAGTTTGAAGAATACAGATCCTATTTATTTTGCATTAGCATGAAGCTGCAGGTTAAAAATGCATGAATTACACTTACGAATAACAGTTAAATGCTGCAAATATTTATTTCGTACACTTGAAGGGCGATTTACACCTTTACAAATCTTGACAAATTTAATTTACGCTTGCAATCTTATGTACGCTTTCACAAATCTTAAGGCCATTGCACACAGAGTCCGACATTTTCGTATGCATTTTTTCGTATTCGTGATTAGGTGGGTCTGAATTGTCAAAACACCATTCAAACTCCATTCAAACTGCTTGCTACGGATGCGAAAAACGCAGAAAATGGAACCCGATTGGATTTTTTTTATGACAGACGAAAGTTTCGGAGGCAGTGTGCAAGCGTGATTGACGTGAGGTCGTATTTATTTTCAGTGTGCAATGGCCTTACCGTGTGCATTGGCCTTACCCTGTGCATGCGATTCTTTATGTCATAATTTTACCTTCATAGATTTGCTGTCACACGATCGGTAGGAGGATTACTATACTCGTTAAAGCCTGCTATATACTGTTGAATAGGCAGGGCAACTATTTACCATAGCATATTAAACATCACATAGTTAACATCAGGGCCGGATTAACCATTAGGGCAACTGGTCACTTGCCCAGGGGCACATGACATCTAAGGGGCCCTGCGCACCGTCAAATATTATGTTAGATCAAGTTATAAACGCAGTCCTCACTTTCCTAATTATATGCATATTTTTGCAACCCATTCGATCAAAATATAATGTTAAATCGCGTCAAAAACAGCGTCTGTATTCCTGCGCAGTGAGCGAGAGCGAGCTATCATGTCGACTCGCGTCGCGTGACTTGACGCTCTGAAATTTGAAGTGATGGAGAAGCAGTTGCCTACGGTTGCCTAACATAAAAGTCTCGACTGTTTAGCGTTATATTTTGCCAGCGAAGTCAAATTGAAACTGTGATATTGCTTCGTGCCGTTATAAAACAGCAAAAGACTTTAAGTAGCCTAGGCATTCTGTTTGTGCTGCGTGATTTAAATAGAAGTGCGCACTTTGCTCACGCGATCAGCATGGTGATCTGGTGTTTTCTCCAAAATGAAAGCTCAAGGGTTTATTTCTGGCAATTAAAGAAATTAGGACAAAAGTATTGTACTTTTCCTATACTGTGTAATGTAATGCAAAATACTTTTAGGCTACATTTATAGGAGGTATATGATTTTACGTCATAGGAATAATTATATAAATCATTATTATAATAATTGTTTGGCATCCTAAAACACCAGTGATAATGTAATGCAGACTGAGACTCTATATCATAACTAAAAAGATGTTTGAGCCCTCTTTAATGTCCAGGTACAAGTCAATGCTTTTTCTTTGTTCAATGTGCACAGTTCATGGGTTAAAGCCGGTTGAAGCTCTTAATTGTGAGCTCTCAAAGTGCACCAGATTGATGCATTTAACCTTAAAATGTACAAAATTTTCTTGCGGGGGAGCCTGCCCCCGAACCCCCCTAGAGGGATAGAGTTCAACCCAACATAGTTTTATAAAATCCTATGGGAAACACAGATCATTTATGAAGTAATATGTACAACAAAGTTCCTTTTAAGTCAGTAATACAGTTAATGCCAAATTAAAATGTCCTTGGACAAACTACATTTGGCCTGCCTAGGGGGGGCCTACAAGACATTGTGCCCAGGGCCCTCTGAATTCTTAATCCGGCCCTGGTTAACATAGCACATTAAACATCACATAGTTAACATATACATGCTAACTTCAGCGCGCATGACACATAACGTTAATAGCATTTACTACAAATGATGGCCGTGAAAGAGACTGCGAACGCATTAAATATAATATTAAGAAGTAAACAGCGTAGCTGGCTTACAGATTCAGTTAACAATATAATATTAAGAAGTAAACAGCGTAGCTGGCTTACAGATTCAGTTAACAAATGAATAAGCGCGACGATTCAGGGAGCAAATCTGCTTTCTTCGTCCCTCTGTCTCTGGTCCTGCGATGTGCTCACTCAGTGTGCAGTGTGAGAGGGGGAGTGGCCAGCGGCTAGAGCGGCAAAAACCAATGTGTGCTTCTTTTAGCGATATATTTAGCGATATCTTTTGCATTTCTAATCCAAATAACGTCAAACGCGGCACTGCACTTACTCGTGCCTGTAGCAAGACACCTGTCAAGTTTGAGATCAATCGGACTAACGGTTCGAGAGATATGCGATTAACAGACAGACAGACACACATACAGACACACATACACACAGACAGACAGACATTCCTGTAATTTATAGATAGATAAATAACATTTTGTGCGGACTCATTGTTTATTTTTTGCAACACATTCAAGTTACAAATGGCCATGCCCGCTATGTTAAAATAAAGTGGATAATCAACCAAACCGATCAATGTATGAATTTCCACGCAGTATTTTATTATTTACATGTGTGTTTTTACAGACCAATCATATAGAAGAGTGAATTATCTGTCCTGTCTTGACTGCACTCGAGGAATGTGAGCTCTATTGACACAGATCTCACTTCCGATTTAACTTTGCAATTTCCAGTGACCATTGTGAGAAATGTTTAATTTTATGCAAACTCATTGAAATGAATGGTATATGAATGGGGTTTGAGTATAAACCAGTCCCACTGCAATCTGCAATGAATTAAAACGCATGGCCATTGTAAAAACCTGCAAGAGTTCCAACATATTTTTTGTTCATAGAATGCTGGGAGCAGGATCCCCATATCCGTCCGTCCTTTGCTTCCATTTTGGAGCAGCTGACTGCCATAGAAGAGGCTGTGATGGCCACCATGCCACAGGACTCCTTCCATTCAATGCAGGAGGACTGGAGAGTGGAGATCCAGGAAATGTTTGATGAGCTACGCACTAAAGAAAAGGTCTGTTGATAAAAGATTTTGACTCTTTTTCATTTCTGAGCTTGTTTTACATATAGTTTTGATTTGTTTTGTTATGAGACAGTGGGCCTATATTGTTTTCTTATCAAATATGGTTCAGATTTTATTAGGTTAGCTATTTGGTTGTACTGCTTCTCTTAACAGAAGCTGTTAGCAATGAAATGGCCTTAAATGTCCCGTATTATGCCCCTTTTCACAAGATGTAAAATAAGTCTCTGATGCTCCCAGAATGTGTATGTGAAGTTTCAGCTCAAAATACCCAACAGATCATTTTTTACAGCATGTTTAAATTGTCATTTCATTTTTTGGGGCTCAGAAAAACGCGTTGTTTTAGTGTGTGCCTTTTAAATGCAAATAAGCTGCTGCCGCCGGCACAGGGGGCGGAGCTTCATGAGCTCGCGCTCAGTCTCTCAGGACAATTTCATCTCACGGAATGATGATAATATCAGAAACTCTCAGTAACGGTGTTTATTTTGAGTCGGACAATAATGCCTACAGAGTCAGAGTGCTGTATAGAGATGGAACAGGTATAGTTTAGTAGTATAATTACGGTTATTATAACATATTTGTCATCTGCTTGTATGTATCCATTATTTATTAATAGCCTACAAGTCTGCTGTTTCGGACCAGGTCCGAATGATGATAAAACATATACTGATGAGTTTAATAAAGTTTATTGTACATCACACAAAAGATGAAGCGTCAGTTTTATTTCAGAAAATCACCGTAAGAGCTGAGTTAACACAGTAAGTTATAAGAAGTGCGCAAGTTGAGGGAGCATTCCTGTGGGCGGACGTTAGTCAAAAAACTGTTCTTCTGACGTCATTAAAGAAGGAAGTAGAGGGATGTAGTCCAAACGGGCCGTTCGATGTAGGCGACTTCTGTTAAATAAAATATCTCGCTTGGCATTGAACTTTGAGCTTTATAATTTTACAGATATTATTTATACTCTAACAACAACATTACACACTAACTAAAGTTTGAAACATGGGATAACGAAGAACGGGACCTTTAAGTGTTCAATGAAGTTAATATGATAAGCTGCTTCCGATCTTAGCAGCTTGTTTTGTTGGAAAGGGTTTGCCATTGGTTGATCAAGAACGCCTTTTCCTGCAAGTCAGCTAAAACTTCATGTAGAAATCCTGACATTGTGTTTCACGTGCAAGTCATTCTTGATCAGTGATTTTTCCCACTCCTTTAGGAACAGTCCTGTCACATAAATATCTTCCTTGTTAAGTGATGCACCAAGTGAACTTTTACTCGATTGTAAATAAACAAATTGTTAATTCATTAATTAATTGTCTAAATCATCTGCCCAAGTGTGTTTTTGGCAGAGTGCCCCAAAGCTTCTTACAGAACTTATTCATAAGAGATTAGGCCAAACGGCTTTACTCCATGTGGGCGGAAAACGGTTTTGATTAATGCTTAACAATTCTGTCTGCAAGTTTTATACATGTGGATTATTCTGTTCAAGAGATATAGAGAATGAGTAAACTAACTCTATCACAAAGATGATTTATTCTTTTAACCAAAAGGCAGGATTCCATTACCATATTCACAGTATTAAGATTGAAGTGTAGGACAGAGCAGAAGTGAAAATTAGAGAAAGGGAACATAAGAAATTTGAGTTTTTATTTACTAGCTTATAAATGGTGCTGCTGTTTTGTGGATAACTCACTCACAGGTCTAGTATTATTGTTGTGTTTATGGTGCTCAAGGGGAAAAACAAGAACAGAAGGCTGATCTGAAATGAGCAGTTCAAGGCAGAGAGGAATCTGAGCTCTGTTCTCCAAGGCCAAAGGAAGTGAAACTGCCATTCATACCAATGATGTCTTTTTTGCTCATAGACAAAGAGTTGTTTCATAAGCATGAGAACTATCCGAATTTGCTTCCTTAGCCAGTAATTCAGTATATACAAATATTTATATTTATTTGGTCATTGTTTGGCCATAGTTTGAAGGAATAGGTCATCCAAAAATTTAATTCTGTCATCATTCACTCACCATTATGTAGTTTTTAGATAAACTCCAATGATAGATTCCTTGCAAAATGTGCTTGATCACAAATGTTCTTGACGCCAACAGGAGCTTCGTTCTCGTGAGGAGGAACTGACGCGAGCAGCCCTTCAACAGAAGTCTCATGAAGAGCTGTTGAAGAGGAGAGAACAGCAGCTGGCCGAACGGGAAATTAATGTGCTTGAGCGTGAACTCAACATCCTCATTTTCCAACTCAACAAGGACAAGCCCAATGTTAAGAAACGGAAGGGCAAGTTCAAACGCAGCCGCCTCAAGCTCAAAGATGGCAACCGCATCAGCTTACCCTCAGGTTAGAGCCGTACTATCTTATTAGTTTACATATGAATTTGTTGTGTCACATTAATTAATCTCAGTAAATTGTTTCTTATTACTGTTAACAGAAATGTTTTTCTTGTAGTGTTAGAGTTGTAAAGAAGGTTGATGTTCAAAATGTTGTTGTAAAATGTAGTAATGTTTAAAGTGTTTTTAGTAAATATTACTGGTGGGTAACCTTATTTGTTCATCAGATTTTCAGCATAAAATCACAGTTCAGGCCTCTCCAACTATGGACAAGAGGAGAAGCCTCAATAGCACTAACTCCAGCCCTCCCAGCAGCCCTACACTGATCCCTCGCCTCCGAGCCATTCAGTGTAAGTGCCAGCTCTCTTACACATCTGTACAGCATCTGCCACATTGTTATTTTACAATTTACCACACCGTTCCAATATTTTTGAGATTTGGGGTAAAAGGTTTTTTAAATATATAAGACCTATTTTTGTTTCCAAGTAGGTTTAGAAGTTTAAATATGATCTACTTTATTTTAAAGGGAATTTGCACCATTTATCTTCCAATTATAAGAAATTATCTCAAAGCACTTAAACAAGGATCTGAAATTCAAACAGACCCATTGTCTTTTCATTCCATTGTAATTAGCTAATATCAGGATTGGCCCATATCATTCCTGTTTAAATGTTTTGCCAGTTTCAATACAGTAAAACATACCAAGGGCAGTCACACTAATCAATCCATTTGTGAGTAGCTCAGTGTGACAAAAAAATGGTGACAAAAAAGTGGCATCCAGGTCATTGCCAGTGGTTGCTGAATCCTGTGTTTGTCACACATTTATAACTTATTTTTTTCCCATCAGTGAGCCACCCAGGTGAGACTAGCCGAAGGAGCAGTATGTTTGTGTATCACCAGGATGTGGATATCACAAGCGAGTGTAAACCTCCTAGCGGGTTTAGGAAGAAAGGCAAGGACACTGTGGTCCTGTGAGACAAAGCCGGCCCATCTAACTGTGTGTTGGTGTGATTGCTGATCACTATGGCTCTTACTTCACAACATCTCTTTTTGTTTTGATGCCTTTAGGTTGTCTTAACGCATTGCTTGATGAAGTTTTAATTGTCTGTAATGATTTGCTTTGGGAATCAAGGACATTATTGTAGACCTTGAGCTGGTGCTGCCAAACTCGATCTGATGATTGATTGCATCAATAGTAACACTTTTCTGTGTATAAAATCCAAAAAGATTTAAAGCTAATGTTCTCATGATGTTCTTCCTGAAGCTCCATTAACACTTGTTTTGCTGGGTGGTGGAGGTTGCCTTAATTTCTAAAAACGCTGTTTCTGTTCTGCTGTGAAGGACTAATAGATTGAATCTCAGTATGTGGTGTGTCAGTTGAAGGACATTTCCATTGGTATTAGCAATTCTGTTTCAAATTCTATGTGTCTTCATCTCTAGTGACCCTGGACGAGAGCAACAGAACATGGGGTCGAAGCACCAATTACAAACCTGAGGAGTTTGAAGATGTTAAGAAAGGGTTCAAGAAGAAGGGCCGCACATGGGGGCCGAGCTCTGTGCAGACGAAGGAAAGAGGAAATTGTGCTGAAAGGTTGGAACAGTGTTTATTTTTGTGTGTTCCTTTTCTTAATGCCTAGACAAAAATATTATCTTTAAGCACCATATGTTTCATTTTAATTATTCAACAAATACATGTAGTTGCTTTAGTATGCATACTTTAGTGTGTTCTCATGAGTTATTAATTGTGGGTGCCACTGTCATTTTGTCTTCAGAGTTCGACCTCTCTCAGATGGAAGCAGTCCCTGGTCCACTAGTCTTATGAAATCCCAGAAATCTGTTCCATTGGCTGCATTATTTGCAGAGCAGGGTATGTAAAGAAAGCTCATCTTCCATTTACTTTTTCCATGTACTCAGTTTTCATCGCTCTTTGTTGTATTTTTTAAATCAGGTAACAAAGAACAAGTTCCCTGAAACCACCTTCTTGACATGACATTAATCACTGTCTACACAGTTCAGAATCTAAAGTTTTATTTGTTGTCAAATTGCTTGTTCAATGCATTCTTCTTATAACATCTTTTATCGAGGTTATCAAAAATACATTATGTATTATGTGTTTTGAAATGTAATTTATTCCTGTGAATAAATGACGTGAATTTTCAGCAGCCATTACTTCCATTACTAGCCATCCTTCAGAAATCATTCTAATATGCTTATTTGGTGCTCAAGAAACATTTCTTATAATTATCAATGTTGAAAACAATCGTGCTAGAAAGTTGAAACCATGATAATGTATATTTAAAAAAAATAATAATAATTTGGCAGATTCTTAATTGACATTATATGCATGGCAAACATCATCACAACCTACTTTTTTAACATCCATTAAGTTAGATTAATCAAACTATGCAAATAAATAACCAGAACAGCCCCATTATCCCTACCCATCCCAAGTATTCCACAAAAACAAAGGGGGAGAAAAATAAATAGTTAAACATATATATAATAATATTAATAATAACAATTAAACAAATAAAATCATATAAAATAAAGAAAAATGAGTTATTTTATAAAATGAGTTAACAGAATCCCTAATTGTCTGTTTAATATTTTCCAAATATAGAAAGGACATTAGGACTTTCAACCAAGAAAAATTAGAGAGGGGCGTGAAAATATCCAATGTAGCAGTATTTGACTTCTGGCTACCAATGAAGCAAAAGCAATAACATAAGTGCAAAGAAATATAAGGGCCTTTGACAGTGTATCAAAAAAAGATGACCAAAATGAATACAATTTAGGACATGTGTAAAAATGTATGAATATGATCTGCTGGGGATAGTGAGAATGTATTGCAACTGTCATCTTCTGTTAAAGAAAGTACAATTTTGCTTTGGTGAAATGAATTCTGTGAACAGCTTTAAATTGGACAACATTCAAAGGAGCGCAGATACACATTGAATTTATTTTAGCTAGAGCATTATTCCTCCGCTCCCCGTCAAGTTCTAGACCGAGCTGCTTTTCCCAAGTTTCCTTGAAACCAGAAAGAGGGGGGAATTGTGAAGAGCATAACAAGTCATATATTGAGGCTATAGACCAGGGGTCGGCAACAGGCGATAATATCTGGCCCGCGCCGGCGCCGCAGCCTGAAAAGTTCTGAAAGACATTCAAAAGAGTCTCACCTCTAAAATAACCGTCATGAAATGTCTAATATTATATTAAATGCGTCTCTATAGCACGCGTTGTGTTTATCGTGCAATTTATACGCGGAAATGAGTTTTTACGTGCATATGATAAGCAGTTTTTCGCGTGCATTTGATACGCACTTTATTGCGTGTAATACACACGCACCCCACACCACTAATCCTACCCAACGTATAATACACACGCACCCGACACCACTACTAAACCTACCCATGCGTATCAAATGCACGTAAAAACTCATTTTCGCGTAAATTGCACGATAAACACAATGCGTGCTATAGAGACGCATTTAGTGTGATCGGGTTGTCGTTGCAGATAAGACACACCGCATTTACAAAACTAGGTAGGATGAACGCATAGTTGTCTTTCGATTATTCTTTGTATGGCTATTTTTGCTGTCAACTTTCCTCTTTAGACTCTTTGATAGTACCATTTTCTCTCACCAGCTAGCTTAAATGTTAACATCACTCTTCACACGACATAATAGCGTACCTGCAGCACGCAAACAATAAAAAAAATGCAGTTTAGTATGCGAGGATGCCAAGGAATAATTCTAAGTTTAAAAGTAGTCTACGTCAAATAATTATTACAATAAGTTAGACTCCATTGTGTAACAAGCAAATTAAAATGATACACATTTATTATTCACAATATGGAAAGAGGAAATAAAACATAGTTTGTTAAGAGCATGACTCAAAAATGCCATTAATGGGCTTATCCATTTCGCATCTCCCACATGTGTGTTTTGGCAAGGCGGGTGTGTGCAAGATGCCGCAATATATCGGGAGACATGTGGGTCAGACATTTCTCTCTATAGGCGCGTTAACTACTGCGGTCACTATTGCAGCCGACACAGAAACTAATAAACAATTAAAATGTCTCCTTGCTATATTTGAAACATTCATAATCATTACTTTTGCCGGTTCCTTGTGACAGCTTTTGCGTTATTGGCAGCGTCACCCTCTGGTTACATGAACACGGCGTCAGCACCGAAAACATCGGGATTTTTTTAGACAATAATCGCACAACCTATTCGATATTCTATAATTAAATCAACAAATCGAATATTCGAAAATCGTGACTCATCCCTACTGCTTTATTAATGTATCCAGTGTAAAACCCGGACACCCCCACACAAATGTGGCTTTTTGTTAATGACTGTCCTACTACAGGATTTAACACAGAGTAGCCTACTAACAGATCACTACCAGTTACAAAAGACACTGTAACAGTCTGTCACAGGCAATTCTAGTTGCATTTTTCATCAATTCATTTCTTAAATTATCCATTGACTATGTTCTGGCCCGCCATCTAGTGTCAAAAATATGTTTTGGCCCGATGCCATGCCGACCCCTGCTATACTGTAGTAGACCTTATGTAGCCCCGCCCCCTTTCAGCGCTGTGCTCGTTGTGTTCCATCTTCCGGTTTGTATTTCCACAGCATGATGGTAAGATCTTACGGATTTATGAATAAATCACTCATTTTAAAATCTGCCTGGTCTACTGACATTTGTTATGACATCCATTTCAAACATTACAATCCTCATGATACCTTTCGTTACCTCTACAATAAGTAAATCCACTTCACCAGCTAATTACTCTTTGACACTAATGCCATAGAAATATACAGAGCGACCGCAAAAACAGAAGTTCAAAGACAAAATTTTAAAGATGGCTGCGCGCTTTTTTTCTCTGGTGCATAAGGTCTATATGTGATTTCGGAAGTTACATTATATCTTCAATCAAAGTTTTCTGGTGAGGAAAGGGAGCAAAGTGTGCTTTGGCAAAGTCACATTTGATGCTACTTAACAGATCATGAAACGACATAACATAGTCTCTAACCTAACATCTGTAGTTATACTTGTCTTTTTTTCCCCCAAGGAACCAGTAAAGATGAAGTATGCTCTGCTGATGGATCTGACAACAAACCAAAGCAACTCAAGTTCCCCAACCAGGTGTATATCGATCTACCTCTGTGGAAAGATGAACAGGGGGAGAGCCAGGGGCCGGCTGGTGGAGGTGAGAGCCAGGACGATCCAACAACATCTACAAGTTCCACCAGCACCACACCTCAGCACACACCCACCAACAGCCTAAAGCGCAGCACCACATGCCGGCGCACAGACTCTGTTCTCTATGGCTGTGCCTCCATCCTGGCATCTGTCGCATTGGGCTTTGACCTGCGAGAGGTCTGTAAGGGTGCTACCAATGAGGAACCGGAGCCACGTGAGGAGAAGAAGAAACGAGAGGGCCTGTTTCAGCGCGCTACTCGCTTCCGCCGCAGCACCAGCCCCCCTGGTGGCCGTTCACGCAAGGACGAGGTTACCGCTGGGCCAGTAAACCTGCTCGCCATGTCATCGATTTCTGAGTGCAACTCCACCAAGTGTCTCCTGCAGTCTGATTGTGAGGGGTCTGTGCACAACCTAATGAACGAGACTCCAACTAGCAATTCCAGGACACATCAGAATACAGGCACTAGTGAAGTTCTCCCCTCAACCCCTGCGCAAGATCTCGCTTCTGGATCCAGCTCTCGGCTTAGGAGAAAGAAGTCCAGTCCTGCTGTGTGTCAGACCAGTGAGTCATGTGCTGATATTCTTAAGGGTTGATCACGATATTAGAATTATTTCTGATAACCGATAAATGGCCAATTTTAAATATCTTTTCTATTTTGTCTAAATAATTAAAAAATGAAACTTATAAAATATATTATCAATATAAAATTGATTGTTTTAAATGCTACAAGTTAATTTAGACCGCTCAACATTATTTACAGAATGTAAAATGGATATTTTAGATGATTAATTTAGTATTTGTACGCTCAGGAGAACTTCTCACGAAGAATTTGGAAATGTCACGTCACCTACCATAACTGCAAGTTTCAACACACTACTAACACAACTCAACCAGGCCTCACCTTTTTTTGTGTGTGTGTATGCCTTGGGCAAGAATTATTAGAATAAATTCTATAAATTAGAAATAATTCTGACACAAAACTGAAGACTACAATCGAGGCATTTCAGGGAGTTCGTAAAAAGTGCTTACTGATATAGATAATAACTCCCTTTGGAGTGGACTTTGTGCTTTGGAACTTTTCAGACATTTTTTTATGCTCAAACTGCAACATTATCCTAAGGAAAGTATATAATATAATAAATATATAATATATATAGAACATATAATAAATATATACCTTTTAATAACCCCTTAAAATGTTTAAACGTTATCTGAAATTAAAATTTTCATGCTGTACATATATATATATATATATATATATATATATATATATATATATATATATATATATATATATATATATATGTCGTGAGGTCTAAATTCACTTGTAGCTTTTAAAAATGGTTTTATAACACTTATAAATTTAATAAGTGTTTTGTCTAAATGTAAAAATAGATGGAAACAAGTATGTAAAATTACTGGATATTGGCAGATACTGATAAACTTTAAAATATCTAATATTAGCAGACAAGCATCTATTTTTAACATTGCTGGCATCTAATAAAAACACTGCTAATTTATTAACACTGTTATGTAAAATATAAATTTTCCGTGCTGTACGTTATAAAATTGTGAGGTATTTCACTTGTACCATTTAAAATGGTTTTGTATCGGTTGTATTTTATCTAAATGTAAAAACATGAAAATGAGTATATAAAATTAAACCGAATACCGGCCGATACAGATTTGCTTATTACTGCATCAACCCATATCAGTGAAATTTTGTTTTCAAACGTTGTTTATTAACCATGTTGCTCTCTTTCCTTTAGTTAACGGCAGCAGTAACTGCCAGGCCAGTCCAACTGATTCCGCTACCACTACCGCAAAAAATAAGGCTGACAGAGAGCCTGCTCAAGAGAAGGAAGCAGTATCTAGACCCAGGCCGCTTTCTTTAAGAAGCAAATCTCACTCCTGGGGTCTTCTAAAGAGTCGCAACAAGAGCTATTCACTCGGGCACTACTCTGGGGAGAAGAGTGCCCAAAACTTGGACGTGGTCCTCCCCTCAGAGGTCAAAATGGGCTGCTCTTTACTGGACATGGACACAGAGGGTCAAAAACGAGACAGCACGGTTCCCCTCTGTCGAATACAGAGCACACCAGGTCGGCCATCTGTCTTTGAACTGGAGAAAGAGTTTTTATCCTGAAATAAGCTGCATCTGGAACACAATCTTACTTTCGTCTTGAATCTGTTCCATGTGACATTTAGTTGTTTTGTTTTTCCAAGATTAACATCATGGCCTTTGACCAATATTTGAGCCATTGCTGCTGGAGATATTCTGTAGTACCTTTATTTATATGCTGTTTACTTTGATATGTAATTTAATATGAAGTGACGTACATGAAGTGAATGATCAACATTCCACTGAACTTACAGTAATTGCAGTGATTTGATCAGTACACATGAACAAAATCTCAGAATCTGTTAGAAACTACTGATTTTTTTTTTTGTGTTCAGACGTTTTTGTCATTTGATTCTGTATCATGTAATGTCATATGAAAGGCATAAACAGGGCCCACAGTGTTTATATAGTATAATTATTAATAGTTGTACAGATGAAGTTCCATCGCGGATGCGATTGACCAAACTAACAGACCTTATGTTGCTAGCTCAAACAGTGCTTTCATTGAGCAGCTTAGAATTTCCATACATAGCTCATTATTTTTCCTATACTAATACATGAAATTTAAAAAAGGTTTTCTTTTAATGACCTTTTGAAATTGATTCCTGAACCATGCTGTGGTCAGCATTGCAATAATCAATTTATTTCTGCTAGTCTTTTCCAGCATTCTTCTTTTATTTGTTTTCCCCCCTTAAAGCTATATTGGATACCCACCTAATGGACTCTCCTTTTTTAGCTTTAATTCAAATTCATTTGAACTAATTATGTCTTTTAGAAGTGAATACATGTCTATATCTTTTAGATTGCATAACTAATTATGGCAGTATTGTTGATCAAACCGAAATGGGGAGCAAAAATATATATTTATATCTAAACATTGCATTATACTGCCAAATAGTGATGAATGAACTATATTGATGGTGTCAATCATTATTGCTTTTTATTTACAGATCATTCCTTTCCTTAAAAAACGTAATTTAATTAGTTGTTAAATATCACATTGTACTATAAATCCAGTAATAAATTCATTGAAGCACCAGGATGCTACTTAAAACTGTTACCATCTGAGTAGCTTGATTTTGAGTTTATGCTGCAGTAGGTTTACAGAATGTTTAGAGTTATTATTAAAATATAATTCAGCATTATACTGTATCTTAGTGATTTAAACTGCTGCCGCAAAACCCCAATGCTCTAGCTGCTAGTCTTTTAAACCGTTTTCTCAATAATTACCCTGTGTAGAAGACTGAATTATTAACTTGTTCATTGTCTATTGTGGACTTAAGTAGTTCAGTATCTTGCTTTTCTGTTCTCTCTGTGTGACATGTAAAAATACTGTTTTGTATCTTCAAGATGTGGAGACTGTGACTTGGAACATGCACTATTGAACAAATCGAAACATTATTTTGTGGTTATAGCCTGTCACATGGAAGATTACTAAAACTCTTAGTTTGTTGGAAAAGATGTGTTTGAGAAACAACTTGCATTCAGTATTGAAAAGCTTTTCCTTGTAGTGTGAACTAGAATTATTTACTGTATTTACGGTAATTATATTCAGAGTTAATGTGCTGTTTGTTCATAAATGATCAAAGGGTTTCACAATGACTCCTGTTTAAAAATACCCATTATGTGGAGATGTTTTAAAGGAAGAACAAAATATGTTGTGTAGCACTGGAATTTTCGAGTCATGTGATGATGATTGTTCATTACATTTATGCTGTTATTATATATAAAGACGTAATGATTACTACTAGTTTAGATATACAACTGCACATTAAGATTTATAAGAACAAAGGACTCAAGAGACATTGTGGTGCCTCTTTTTTATGTCTTGCAATGAACATTACTTTTATGATGAAGTAACAATAATATGATGCCCGTTTTTGAGGAATTCATTTGGTGTTATTGTTTAAGCACAATCATTTCTCCTGTTATCGGAGAACTGCAGAGATCAAACTTTTAAAGCAGTTTCATTTGGACTGATTCCCAATCATGAAGGACACAGATGTGTAAAAGACAGGAAATCTTTAGTTTGGAATTGAGCAACAGAATATTCATTTTTCACCAAAGTTGAAGTCTTGGATTGTAAAATGGTTTTGAGAGATTGTTACATGGTTCACATGCACTGCAAATAGTTTTACTGGTTTTGCTTTTTAGTGTCTGCACAGTGTATGTTGTATTGAGCTCTGTTTTTATCTAATGTTTTACCCATGTGACCAATTTAATGTTAAAAGCTGTTCAGTTCTAAATGCGGACTGGTTATTTGCTCCAGGAGGGCTCAATAAAAGGGCTGAGCCCAGAATCATCTCATTTATATCAAATTCTACTATTTTACTTTACACAAGAGACCAATAAAACCTTTATACAACATTAGGCATCGTTTCTCTTTCATCATTTCTTTACATTTTATTTTCTGTCATGTGCTGTAAACATTTATTTGTTGTATATTGTTTTATTCCATCATTGTGTATCATGTTCAACTACTTCTGTCTGGTGTATCGTTGCTCAGCCCTAAACATGACTATAAACATGACTATTAATTCATATATTTATTTTCAACAGTCATTAGCTTTAAAGCTGAAGTGTGTGTGTTTTTGTTAAAGGGTTAGTTCACCCAAAAATTAAACTTCTTTCATTAGCTACTCACCCTCGTGTCCTTCCAAACCCAGATGAACAAACAAACAAACCCAAAACACAAATGAAGATATTTTTAATGAAATCTGAGAGCTTTCTGTCCCTCCATTGACAGCCTACGCAACTACCACTTTCAAGCCCCAGAAAGGTATTAAAGACATCATTAAAGTAATTAATGTGTCTCCAGTTGTTTACTCGCGTCGCTTAATAAAATTGAGGTTAAACAACTGGATTCACATGGATTAATTAAACGATGTCTTTACTACATTTCTGGGGCTTGAAAGTGGTAGTTGCGTAGGCTGTCAATGGAGGGACAGAAAGCGCTCAGATTTCAATAAAAAGTTCTTCATTTGTGTTCCAAAGATGAACGAAAGTCTTACGGGTTTGAAACGACATGAGGGTGAGTAGTTAATGACATAATTTTTATTTTTGGGTGAACTAACCCTTTAAAATACCGTCTTCTACCCTAACTTAATAATAAATTACTTCAAGTAAGCCATTTCTTGATTTCCCTGAGAGAGAGAGGGGGGGGGGAAAGAGTAAACACCTTCCACACTGCTGTTGACTCAAACCAGGGTGTGAGTTGGGGGTGGGACTATCCGTTTGTCCGGCCAATAAAAGATGAGTGTTCAGGAAACCCGTATGCAAACAATCATTATTTTTGACATTGCCTTTGTGCTAGTGGAACAGAAATTACACACTTCAGCTTTAATGTAACCAAAAGGCTAGTCCAGGCTTATAGTCTGTCTTATAGTAAACATGATCTTGGTGAGCATTTGCAGACATTCCACTATGTAGTGTGCACGTGTGTAATTTTCATGTTGAACAAAGGTCCAGAAGCAGCCTCACCCTGCAGGCAGATAAAACAGAAATGTTATAATCGAAACTGGAAATAATTTGAATATTCTAAAAATAGTATCAAAAATAATAGTGCATCTTGTAGTGGCAGAAGAGAACACTCAAAATTCTCAAGATTGAAACTCTTAGGAAAGTAGACAATCACTCTAATTTATCCTAAGGTGGTTGGAACTTGATCTGAGGGTCTCAAGGGTGCAATCTCTGTCTCGAATAACAAATAGCGTGTCTGTGCTCACTTTGTCGTCTTTTTGTCTAACAACCATCAATGCCCAGAAGGCAACTTGGAGAAAGCACAAAGGCGGAAACTTGTCATGGACACCATCATTTATCTCAGGTGTTCCCCTTACTAAAGAAACCATATCACATGTTACGTAAGGCTTACCTGTGGGAGACACTAAACCCTCAATGAGTCTTGACGCAGGTGCTGGAACTCCGTGAGCTTTTGCGGCCTGAGCGAGGAGTAACGGACAGAGCCTGAAGGCAGTAGGTGGTTTTCGGACGTAGCGACTCAATCACAAGTTCCTTGGAGCAACTGTCTGTTTCATGAACTTCCTATTTGGGAAAGATGATTTTTGTGAAGGTTTAGCATGCTGAATTTGAGGAGTTTGGAGTCATTCATAATAATTCTAATATTATAATCACTGGGCTGTCGGCCAGAAAATTTCCAGGTTGGAAATAGGCTAAATGAAGCACAATTTGCTCAGTACATGTTAATCTTCCTATGCAGATTTTGTTGCTACAATGTAGCAAAATTGTAGCAAATTGTGAAAAGAAAGAAAGAAAAAAGCAGCTAATTTAACCAACTCCTATCATTTGCTCTCTCAGAATATTAAATACGGTAGTTGTTTCTTCTGTTGAACACAAAATATATTTTGAAGACATTTCCTAAAATATATTTTATGTTCCACAGAAGAAAGCAAGTCGTACAGCAAATCAGACAAAGTAACTGGCAATACTGTTTAACATTATTTATTATTTTTTTATTGAACTGAAGTTGACTGTGTGATATGTTTAAATCTATAATTTCTTACCTCTTCTACACCATTGTGCATTAAGTATATTCTGAAAATCAGTTTCTGTAGTTTTGTCACTCGCATTCTGCCCTTCTGTCCTCGCAGTGGTGTCCTCGGGGGTCGGATCTGAACTGTAATGGTCTGTCCTGTCACAGTCGCCTTTATCTGGGGTGGGCTGAAACTGGCTGTAATTTAGAGAAAGTTATTAGGTGAGGACTTCCACAGAAATAAAATAATGTTATGCCATTGCCATCACAAAGGTCATAGTGTAATCTTCGATTGGCACCTCTATACCAAAATCAACCATATTACATGTGTGGAAGATCATTTCAGATATAGACAATGTATAAACTAGAATTAGAATCAAAACAATGTAGTATACTCACTTTCCCACTGAGGGTAAAACCTGTGGCTAAGGACCCATGATGAGTTGCCCTCAGGGGAGAGGGAACGGACCCGGGCATAGTACCATTCTCTGGGATCTGATGTCGCCTGGCTCAGGTCACACTCCAGCTTGTGGATTCCTTGACAGTGATCAGAATTAGTCCACTCCTTGTCTCCGTATCTAAAATCAAAAGAGGTCACCAATATGAAAAGTTCCATTGCTACAAAAATGTGAGGATTCATCATGCCATTGTTAAAGCTACAAAGTACATAAGATACGATTTTTGACAAGAAAGTTGTGCACGCTTACATTTTATACTGAACAAAATATTTCAGGTTTTTGGCAGCTTTGTTTGGATGTTTCCAGCGCAAGACATTTCTGAAGTCCAAAGAATGGAATTGTACTTCGAGGGGAGCCATATCATCCTGCTGAGAAGGGCTACCTTAAAGACAGTACAAGTGAAACTTCACATGGATGGTTCATTGTTTTCATGCAGGCTGCCAATGACTTACTTTGTACCAAGCTTGATTTGAATTGTTTGTATAAAAAGTTTGCAGATAATATTAAAAACGCTCAATTTCAGTGCAAGAAACAAGCTATTGAACTTACAGTCTGCCCAACAGAGAAGGGACATCGCTAAAACAAGGTCCAGCCATTGAGGTCCAGTCAGGGCAAACATGATGAAAGGCATTTTGGCTGTTCATCTCTGAGACCTTTAAACCTCACCATTTCCTCTTTTCTAAAATGGGACGTGACGTCAGTCATCTTCATTTATATAGCGCTTTTAACAATGGATTGTTTCAAAGCAGCTTTACAGAGATAAACATATAATTTAAGGTAACAGAGATTGTTTTGGCTTTATAGCGGTTCTTGAATAATGTTATTTCCAGCTAAAGTTAATTTTGATTGATTCACCTCCGTCGAAATGATCAGACTTTAAACGCGAACCTGTGATTAACGCTGACGGCGTTCACATGCACATTCAGAATTGATTCTATAGTTATGTGCAACTATACAGACATTTACAAGGTCATCCTGTACAGTGTATATATAATTATTTTTTTTCTTGAATCAATGATGTCTACTTCAATATGTAAAATAAATGAATATCTTTTGCAAATTATATTCAATATTAGATGTTATATATTATGATGAGAGTTGTTCATTGTGTTTTTATGACGATCCAAAACCACAACAATACATTCATAAAACTATTGTATTGAAAAAAATAACCATTTCATTTCATTTTAAATAGTTCCTCTGTAAGGATCTGGACATCATGCTGAAGTCATATTAGAGTCATACAGAAAACATGAGTTGACTGGAAACAAAAAGAGTGGTTTTATCTTGTGCTTGAGATGCTCATCTGTTCTTTAAAATATACATCACAGCACTGCTGCTTTCACACCTGCTCACAGTGCAGCTCCTAACAGGAAAGGGAAATACATGTACTATAAATTTAATAAGATCAGATACCAAGGCAAGATCAGTTGATATCTACATGAATTTTGGAAATAGTGAAACCACATTTCCTCTTTCATGTATGGTTTGAAATGTATCTACCTGCTTGTAAGACTATAAGACCCTGACCTTTCACTTTGTTCCCTAGCCTTTGTTTTTTTCACTTCACTTTTATTGTTAAAAGGGCATTTGCGTGTCTGATTTGACGAACAGTGTCACGTATTTCCAGCTAAATACCACATTTGACATGTTTCCATTTTGCAATGGAGGGTATTTATGTATTTCCATTGAAATTTGACAGTTTGAAAGTGGAGAATTATATAAATTAGTATGTAATTCCATGTTTGTTGATTTCAATTAAATGTAAATGTTATAGTTTATACTTATATTAAAAGCTAATTTGTTAAGATAAAGTTGCAATTTAGTCAATTTAAAATATATTAACTTTAAATGTAAATAGTGCTGTCAAATCAATTATTCACGATTAATTGCATCTAAGATAAACGTTTTTGTTTAAATAATGTATGAATATATTTATTTGAGAATTATATATATGTGTGTGTGTGTGTGTCTGTGCGTGTGTGTACACACACACACACACACACACACACATATATATATACTCACATAAAGGATTTTTAGGAACACCTGTTCAATTTCTCATTAATGCAATTATCTAATCAACCAATCACATGGCAGTTGCTTCAATGCATTTAGGGGTGTGGTCCTGGTCAAGACAATCTCCTGAACTCCAAACTGAATGTCAGAATGGGAAAGAAAGGTGATTTAAGCAATTTTGAGCGTGGCATGGTTGTTGGTGCCAGACGGGCTGGTCTGAGTATTTCACAATCTGCTCAGTTACTGGGATTTTCACGCACAACCATATAGGGTTTACAAAGAATGGTGTGAAAAGGGAAAAACATCGAGTATGCGGCAGTCCTGTGGGCGAAAATGCCTTGTTGATGCTAGAGGTCAGAGGAGAATGGGCCGACTGATTCAAGCTGATAGAAGAGCAACTTTGACTGAAATAACCACTCGTTACAACCGAGGTATGCAGCAAAGCATTTGTGAAGCCACAACACGCACAACCTTGAGGCGGATGGGCTACAACAGCAGAAGACCCCACCGGGTACCACTCATCTCCACTACAAATAGGAAAAAGACGCTACAATTTGCAAGAGCTCACCAAAATTGGACAGTTGAAGACTGGAAAAATGTTGCCTGGTCTGATGAGTCTCGATTTCTGTTGAGACATTCAGATGGTAGAGTCATAATTTGGCGTAAACAGAATGAGAACATGGATCCATCATGCCTTGATACCACTGTGCAGGCTGGTGGTGGTGGTGTAATGGTGTGGGGGATGTTTTCTTGGCACACTTTAGGCCCCTTAGTGCCAATTGGGCATTGTTTAAATGCCACGGCCTACCTGAGCATTGTTTCTGACCATGTCCATCCCTTTATGGCCACCATGTACCCATCCTCTGATGGCTACTTCCAGCAGGATAATGCACCATGTCACAAAGCTCAAATCATTTCAAATTGGTTTCTTGAACGTGACAATGAGTTCACTGTACTAAAATGGCCCCCACAGTCACCAGATCTCAACCCAATAGAGCATCTTTGGGATGTGGTGGAACGGGAGCTTCGTGCCCTGGATGTGCATCCGACAAATCTCCATCAACTGCACGATGCTATCCTATCAATATGGGCCAACATTTCTAAAGAATGCTTTCAGCACCTTGTTGAATCAATGCCACGTAGAATTAAGGCAGTTCTGAAGGCGAAAGGGGGTCAAACACAGTATTAGTATGGTGTTCCTGATAATCCTTTAGGTGAGTGTAAGTGTACTTCTTTAAGGCACAAAAAAAGATTATTAAAACATAATGATTTAACCTGTTACATGTCACCACCCTTTTTGAGCATATAGATCTGAACTTAAACTTAAACCTCAGGTTGGTCTCTTTTTAAAGAAGACACTCAGCAGATTATTGCAGAAGTGAAATCACTTAAAAAAATGAAAGTGTAAAAAGTGTATAGAAGTTTAAGTTTGCTGTAAAGCAAATGCACTGAACTAAACATTTTTATTTTATAGAAAAAATATATATTACAAAATAATTTGGAACCTAAATTTGCTAGAAAAGCATGCCAAGTTTCCCACTACCGGGAACTGACAGTTAACAAGACATGAAAAACAAAGCACACCTTTTTTTAAAATGTATTGAAGTGTATTAGGGAACATTGTCATGAAAGTTTATATTACACTTAAGTGGCATCTTATTTTATTAATATTATCTGCAGGTGCAGATTTAAAAAAAAACTTACACTACAAGAGTATTTTCAATACAACTAAACATTTCTTTTGTTTCAAAGATGAAGAAATGTTGAAAGTTTATATAATTTAGATTAAAGCACTAACTGACCATCAGAACACAAATATGCTCAAATAACATCCACCTTGCTATATGATACTATACTTTAATCGAGACTGAAGTAACATTTGCCTTCAAATGTCAGGTGTCTTTCAGCTCCTGTATATATGCCCACCATGTGCTCATTCACTGGGAATCTAAAGGCTTTCAGATGGGAAGGGTCAAGACTCTTTTTGTTGGTCTATCAAACTACCTTTGACCCAGTTGCCATGGTTTTTATTATCATTCCTACAGCTGTTCCGACGACCCGGCCCCACGCTGTTGTTCTCCCCATTTTCCTCCATTTACCCCTCTCTCTGGTGTACTCACGGTGAGCACTTATAGGCTTCCCTTGACATCATTTCCCAGGAACAACAAAGGCTATGTCCCCTCACCTTTAGTTAAAGAAATCTCAAAAGAACGGGCAAAAAATGATTTGTACACTGCTTGTGAGTCACTGCATTTTGAGAAATTACTGCAGAAATGTGCTGTCTCACTTTAGTGTCATGTGTTCTATTACTTCCCTAAAAATGCAAGTTCACAGAGTTTAGTGAGCCAAAAGATAATTATGTGATTGATGGAAATATCGTGCATGGATCATATTGAAGAAATCTGGTTACCATTTTATTCATTCACACTTTTACTTTTATGATTTACATTTACCATATGGGCAAATAAACAAACAAAAGAGTGAATATATACAACGTAAGCACATCTCTTTATCTGCATGCATTTATCAACCATGTATGTAGGAACAAGTGATTTTCAAATACATTTATGTCATTTATTTTAATAGTGCGCTATATTTGCATTAACATCCTTTGCATCTTTGCATATCCTCCCTTCTTTAATAAAATGCATGTTTTTTTCCCATGAATAATGAATGTGCAGATAGTAAAAGGCTTTCGCTGTGCTTGACATTTAGATTTTTTTTGTGTGCTTGAACTTCCTTGTTCTATGCCCCTTTACACTGACTGACAGAGGTGTAAAAAATATTGACAAATCGTATAGCTAAAATAATGAATATGTAGTATCAAAAGTGTCTCTCAAAAAATCCTGCATGACTTTAGGGCTCGAGGACACACCAGATATTAAACTGAGCAAATGGTTTTTGTTAAGATTTGAGTTGAGTCGATTGTCGACCATATTAGTCCATCTTCAACAAAGTCTGCAATTAAAACATTGTGCTGTGATTGTGCTGTGATGACTAATTAAATGTCTCTGTACAAGGAGGAATGATGAATGACCAGGTGTGTCCAGATGCAATTAGAATTAAATTGATGTCATTGGCTTTAGAAGTTCAGCTCGCAGTGTAATTTGATCAGATTGTTATCTTAGTAAAAGAGGAAAGATTTTAGTCACGATGACCTTCAACAAATCATTGTGAAATGGAGATGTAATCGAGTAATAGCACAGACTTCGGCAATAGAACTTGAGTAAATGACTTAATTCTTTAAAATAATGCTTAAGCATGAAGTATCACTCCAGTATTTACACCCCTGCTGTTTAGTCTCATTTGGATCTGCTTTACTTTTACACTACCATTAAAAAGTTTTTTTTAAAGAAATTAAGACTTGTATTCAGCAAGAATGCATCAACTTGATCATTAAAAAATCAAAATAAATGCTGTTCTTTTACACTTTCAATCTATCAAAGAATACTGAAAATAAATCCTTTAAACATTGATAAAAATAAGAAATGTTTACTGAGCAGAAAATCAGCATAATATGATTTCTGAAGGATCATGTGACACTGAAGACTATGAAGTAATGATGCTGAAAATTCAGCTTTGCCATCACAGGAATAAATCACAGGTTATAATGTTTCAATAGGAAAGCAGTTCTTTTA